CCCTGCGCAGGTCGCTGCGGGGGATGTGGAGCGCGATCAGATGTCCGGCAGCTCCCCCGTGAGAGCAGCCGGGCCTAGTGCAGAGCTCCCGGGGGCTGCAGTTGAGGTCCCCGGCTGGGAGCTGCGGGAGCAGAGGAGGGCCGTTCCCAGAGGCCGGCACCTGCGCACCCCAGAGCTGCCGGGCTCTGGAGGTGGCTGGGATGGCCGAGGCTTTGTGCTGATCGGTGGGTGTGGCTGCTCTTTCTGATGTGTCTTCCCGGGTCGCAGCCGGTCTTGGTGGTGGTGATTAAATTGACATTCGGATGTAAATATGCACCCAGGTTATTATTTTTTTTTCTATGTTTGAAGCGCTGTTAATGTTTATTGAATGAAACTGACTGGGTACTATTGAATGTAGCAATAAGTAAGCATTTATTTTACCCTGTCGGCTGCCACATGGTGATTGGGGTGTTTAAATAACGGTCTCTCTACTTGGGACATAGCTTAAAAAAAAAATGTAGAAGGTAACAGAGCTCTGCAAGGCCACCTATGTGATTGAGTGGGTTGGAAGGAAAGGAATAGAAATGATAGTTTAGAAACGGAGAAAGTCCCGTGGGAGGGGTGGGATTCTGATGAGGTTGAAAGAAAGTATTCAGCTGAGCCCTGAGCCTGTTTCTGTTTTCTGAGAAGACAGAAATGTTGGTGATACTTCGTGCAGTTCTCTGGCACCTATAAACTGTTTCATGTTACCTTCTGAAGTGTCATTACAGGCTGTGGGATGATCAGGTGTTACCTTACACGGTGCCTGCGGGAAGTTACCAAAGCTTAGAATGGTCCAGGTCATCGAGGCTGGAACTCAAGACTTCATTTTTCTGATTACTAATCTTTCTGCTCTGTCGTTTAACTGCTTCACTGTAAGGGGAAAATACTTTTGTCTAGGATGATTGTAGCTTGCAGAAAGATGTGGAGGAGAAATGAACATTTGCTAAAGTTTTCTATGTGCTATAGCAAGTGTTTTACTTTCTGGGGTATAATCTTAACCAGAACACAGCCTGAGAGGTTGGTCTTGGTCCTTGTTTCACAGGTGAACTGACAGAAGTAATGCATTTATTTATTTGATGATTATTTATAAAACACCTCCTAAAGGTTAAAGGTACTACTCTAGGTTAAGATCCAGGGAGCAGGGACAGAGGAAGGGGAAGGATGAGTCAAAGATGACAAAAGTTTTCGAACTTGGGTGACTGGAATAGTGATCATACATTAACTACGTATGCATGTATATATTTATTTATTTAGAGATGGGGGTCTCGCTATGCAGTCCAGGCTGGCCTCAAACTTTCAGCGATCCTGCCTCAGCCTCCCGAGTACTGGGATTATACGTGGGTGCCACGGTGGGTGGTCTGCCCATGGAATTTAAAAGCACATGCCTTGATAGGTCGCGGTGAGTCCTAGGGCCCTACTTTTTTATTCACAGAAGAGCATTGGTCAGGAGGGCTGTAGGGTAGGTTGTCTCCTGAACCCCCACCCCCATCCCTACTCATCTACCTCTTGGAGGTTTTTCTGTTCCTGATTCCACAGCATAAGACTCCTTCCTGTGGCTCTCTCACCCTAGATGGGTTGCTTGGTTCTCTGAACACTGGCAGAGAGGGTTTGGAAAGGAGGGTTGGACTGCTGCTTTCTGGAGCTTCAAAGCCTCCCCCTGGAATCTTGGGGAGTAGATGTTGTAGTTAGTGTAAGGCATCTAGTGCTTGTCTGCTAGTTCTGGGGGCTCACACAGCCTATACTGTGTGATGGACGCTCAGCAGGATCAGCAGGAAGCATGTATGAAAATTCCATAACATCACAGTGTGCTTTTAAGGGAGTCATTTACATAGAGGTGCCATTTGTTACAGTAGATAGCTCTGTTTATCCTGGAGTCTGGTTGAGAAGTGCTGCTTAGTAAAGTCTCTGTTAAGAGACTCTAGAAGCCATTTGTATCGTGTTTCTCTTGTAACTTGCTGGGACATCTTGGGAGAGCCACTTCTCTTGTCAGCTGAGAAGGTTGAGTGGCAGTTCCAGCCATCTCTTCCAGTGCAAGAGTCTGACTCTGGACTGAGAATGTGTGCGTGCAGCGGAGGTTGGTGGTGACAGAGCTCCTGGGTGGTGCAGGGGGCTGTTGGAGTAGGCGGGGGTGCTGAGTCGAAGGTCCTGGGGGTCCTGTGTTAGAAGCCTCAGGTCCTGAGAGGGAGCCCTGCTTGCTTTGCTTTTGGAGTTAAGATGAAGATTTGGGGCATGGGGGTGGTGGAGTGGCATTGCGTGGATGTAGACAATAAGCAGGTTAGGGCTTCAGGTTGTCTGTGGTGGAGAAATGGACCTGGGGTTGTGTCTAGGTTTTATCCTTTTAGGAGACTGTTTTCCCTTGCCTGTGTTGCCTTTCACTATTTGCTGTGTCAGTTGTAATTTTTACTGTTTTCCTTCACTTGGCAGCACTGTGGGCGTTACCTAACTTTCCAAGCCTTATTTTTTCTCATCTTTGCAGTGTTGGTGCTGCCTTTTCCACAGGATTCTTGTGTGTGCGTGGAGGGCGGTTGAGAGTGTTTGTAGAAGCATCAGGCACAGCTCGTATGTCAGCACCCATCTTTTGTTCTGTCTTCTTCCTGGACAGTGCACTAACTGTTCCTGGGATACCTGCTGCAGCCTACCTCGTCTTCCCACACATTGCCCAGGTTGGTCTCCCAGCCTTGCCTCCTTCCAGCTACTGCTTTTCTTGCTGCTGCTGCTTTTATTTTACTTTTTGAGGCAGGGTCTTGATGTGTAGTTCAGGCTAGACTTGAACTCACTATACTGTAACCCAGGCTGACCTGGAACTTGGAGTGAGCTTCCAAGTACCTTAGCTTCCTGAGTGCTGGGATCACAGGGTGTGTGCTCCACCATGTCTGGCTCTTGCTGCTGCTTTTTTTTTTTTTTTTTTTAAATACGGACAGCTTCGTGAATTCGTGTGTCCTCCTTGTTCAGGGGCCATGCTAATCTTTGTTTTGTTCCAATTTTAGTGTATGTGCTGCTAAAGTCAGCACTCTTGCTGCTTCTTGTTCAGTCTACTTATTGCTGTGGGTCCCTCCAGGGTCCCTGTGGAGGCTGTGCCTCTTGAGTCCAGCTGAGATCCTTTCCTTTCTCCTTAGATTTCTTTCACTAGAAATAGTCATTCCCAGCCACGGCCTGAGAGGCCACCAGGGACTCTCTCATGGCCTTCTTGTCTCAGAGTTGTCATGTGTAGTTGTCTTGACTGTACTCTTTTGGTGGTGAAAAGGTCCCAGGAACTTCTTGGGTATCACTGTGTTCTAGAAAAGGCTGAGGACTTGTCCACATACCAGTATTGCGTTCTTAGAAGGCAGAGTTGTTGCTTTGGGTTCTGTGTTCCTTGTACACTGTAGGCGCATGGTGGACGCTTGTGGGACTAAATGCTTCTGCCTCACCCTTTGCCCTCACAGTGTGGAAAGGGCAGTGGCTGCCTGGGAAACATGTGCATTTTGAGGGCTGAAGTTCAACTATGTTTTCATCTTTCATTTTTGAGCCTGAGTTGTTGGCGCCTTCACAAGTCCACAATGCTGGGACAGTGTGTTGTTTGCATTGTGAGCAAGATTAGGCCTTAAGGGCTGGGGATTTAGCTCAGTGGTTCGGTGGCCTGCCTTGCAAGCACAAGGACCCAAGTTCAATCCCTGGTAGCAAAAAAAAAAAGAAGAAGATTAGGCCTTAAACATGATGACAGCTAAGGCTGTCTAGCTGTTTGTCCTTTAAGTATGTAAATATTGTGAGCTTTGGGTTTTTTTTTTTTTTTTGGTACTGGGGATTGATCTTGACCTTGCACTTGTGAGGCAGGCAGTGGAACCACTGAGGTAAATCCCTGTCTAGTTTTTTTTGTTTTGTTTTTGGTATCAGAGATTGGAACTCCAGCCCTTACCCTTTCAAGGCAGGCAGGCGATGGAACCACTGGGGCCAAACCCTGTCCGGCCCTAGCTTTGGTTTTCTGATATTGGAACCTGTCTGTGAAAGAACATTTTCCTATTAGCTTTTGTAAAGTTATAGTGCATTTCCATTTTGCCAGAGGCAAAGTTTCTTGTTTTACTGTTTGTTTTTGTTGTTCACTACTTTTTTTTTTTGGTAGGGAGAAGCAGATGGCAGAAACACTGAGCTAAAGCCCTGGCCCTTGTTCGCTACTTTTTTTTTTTTCTGTTTTGAGACAGGGTATCACTGTGTAGTTGAGACTGACCTGGAGCTCACTATGTAGCCCGGGCTGGTCTTGAACTCACAGCAATCCTCCTGCCTCAGCCTCCTGAGTGCTGGGATTACAGGCGTGTGCCACCATGACTGGCTGTTTATTACTTTTTAATTCTGTGCTTACCAGCTTTTACATTTCTCAAGAATGTGTGGTACAGTACTGGGCAAATGAACTGATTGCTGGATTGCTGTTTGATTTTAGGTATTCAAAACTTTTGATCACATGGCCCGTCAAGATGATGAGAACAGGCGGAAGGAACTTGAAGAGAAAATCAGAAAAAAGGAAGAAGAGGAGGCCAAGGCTGTGGGGACCAATGCAGCTGAAAAGGAACTAGTCCCGGTCCCAGTTCAAGAAATAGAGATTGACTCTGCCCTAGAGTCGACTGGGCCTCAGGAAGTGGAGAAGGTGCAGCCGCCAGGCCTGGAGGGTGTGGAACAGGAGGGGACACAGGACTCAAAGGAAGTAGAAGCCTTGGGAGCTGTTGCCAGCACTGCCGAAGTACCCCCAGAACCCCCAGTGCTCCCCAGGTAGGAATTGCTCTTCTGCAGCTTTTGACTCTCCTCTGGCATCTGGTGGTTAAGTTTGTTCTTAATTGGTCTCACTTTGCAAAATACCAGTTCTTAATCTTAGCATTAATTTTTTTTTTTTTTTTTTTAAATTGCAGTTTTGGTCCTGCAGTTGTATTAGGATGGGGGCTCCATTGGTTTTAGCCTTCTTTTTTCTCCCTCTGAGGCACAGTAATGATCTATGCAGCCAGTTGAGGGCCAGAACCAAAATTAGGCTACCTACCCGCAAAGACCTCACATTATTTGTGTGTAAGGGGTTCAGCCTCTCCATTTTCTTGTTTTTTTTTGATACCACCAGATTGAACCCAAGACCTCTCACATAGCATCTTGATTGTTTTATATTTGTTTTTCCTGGAGGAATCAATACTGCTAGGGGGTGTGTGCCACAGTGTCCCAAGGTATGACGTGTACCTGTAGAGCCCTGGATTCACATCCTGCCTTGGGTACTTTCCAAACTCAGTGCCTTGGCAAGCAATAGAACTTTTCTATGATTTTAATAGTGTCTGCCTCATTTTATTTGATTTATTTATTTTAGGTTTTTTTTTTGAACCAGGGGCTCTGTATTCCAGGTTGTCCTTGAACTCATGGTAATCCTCCTGCCTCAGCCTCCTAAGTCCTGGGTTACAGGTGTGCACCACACCTGACCTCTTGAGCATTTGGGGGGGCACCAGGGATTGAACTTGGGACCTTGTGCTTGTGAGACAGGTGGTAGAACCACTGAGCTAAATCCTTGGCCCTCTCTTGTGCATTTTAAATGAGCCAAAGGTCAGATAGCTATTGAGTGACAGAGCTAGATTAGGACACAGGGATTCCCTAAATCAAGTCCTGTTCTATGTTTGTACTGACATTCAGAACATGTTTCCCAGATGCTCTGAATGGGTCACCATCCTCCCTGCAGTTGGAGCAAGAGTGTCTGCAGCACAGCGGTGATCCTGGGGTCTGCTTTTGGAAATCTGCATTTTTTTTTTTAGTGTATGTGCTGCTGATGCAAGTACATCTGCATTCTTTTTTGATGAGTTGGCACTCTGAGACCTCTACTTCCCTTCTGTTTTTTCCACTTCTTGTACTGTCTGACCTGTTTTCAGGGAGTATTTGAGTATTATATCTAGTTAATGAAGTCAAACTAACAATTTAGGATGACTTATAAAATAAGGAGTAGGGGAGAATGGGTTCTGTAAAGATACTAGGATGAGGCCAACTGCAGTCTTAAAGGTCCAACTAAAAAATGGGGTTCAGAGAAAACTTGTTGGGTTTGGGTGATCCAAGTTGGTGAAGGGGAGGAGGTGTTGAATATGGGGTTGTGGAAGAAAAGGCAGTGAAGTAAGGTTTTGGAGCCTGAAAAGGGAAGATGGTGTAGGGCAGAGAGACAGATCTGATCTGGTATTTTTGTTTGTTTGTTTGTTTTTGTTACCAGGGAATGAACACAGGTCCTTGTGCTCGTGAGGCAGGAGTGGTATTTCCTTTTAAATTGAAAAACTTTCTTAATATTTCATGTAGAGCAGACCTGTGGGTGAGGAATTCCTTCAGCTTTTGTTGTCTGAAAATACCTTTTATTTTGTCATCATTTCTGAAGATGTTTTTGCTGGGTATAGAATTTCAGGTTGACACTTCCCTCCCCCATCATTTTAAAGAATATTGTTCTGTTGTCTTCTAGCTTGCGTTGCTTCTGATGAGAGGTTTGTCAAAATTCTTTGTTCCCTATATGTAATAAAACCCCTACTTCCACTCTGGCTGCTTTACTGTACTCTATCATTAGTTTCAGTCCTTTCTTATTTGCTCCGGTGGTTTTGTGTGTGTGGTCTCTTTTCTCTTTGCACTTCCTTTGGCATAGTTTCTAGTGTCCTGCCTTCAATTTTATTGTCTTTCTTCCTTTGATGTCTAATATTTAAACTCATCCAATAAATATTTATTTTTATTTTTTGGTACCGGGGATCAAATTTGGGTCCTTGTGTTTGCGAGGCAGGCGGCAGAAACACTGAGCTGAATTCCCAGCCCTCCAATAAATGTTTTGTGTTTTTCAGCTCTGCAAGTTCTATTTGATTTTTTTTTAATGGCTTTTATTTTTACCTTTGTTGTTTTCCTTCAAATCCTTTTAAATATCTGTATCTGTTTTAAAAATTTTATCTGCTGATTCTATTTTCTTTTTTGAGGGGGGTTGTTTTTGTTTACTGAATTTTGGTCTGATTTTGGAATCGCATTCCTACTTCTTTATGTGTCTGGTAATAGTTGGTTGGATGTTAGATACACATTGTTGAGTCTTTTGAATTTTGTTTTCTTCCTCTAAAGAGTTTTATGGCTACAGGCAGTTATTTTGTTTGCAGGTTAGCCTGATCTTTCAGAAGCTTGTTCTTAAGCTTTTTTAAGGCGTGACCATGATACCATTTATTTTTGGCTAGTTTAGCCTTCTAACATGTGACCTTGTTAGGTATCTTCTGAATTTTCACAGTCATGGGTGTCCATCTTTTTGGCTTCCCTGGGCTGCACTATGTTAGGAATTGTCTTGGGCTACATATATTATGTACAGTCTAGTTAATGTGTATAAGTAACAAAATTTCTTTTTTTACATATTAACTTACTATTTTATTTATTGTTTGTTAATTTACTTATTTATTTTTGAGACAGGATCTCATTATATAATTCATGTAGACTTTGAACTCACTGTGTAGCCCAAGCTGGCCTTGAATTTGTGGTAATCCTCCTGTCTCAGCTTTCCAATGCTGGGGTTATAGGCTTGTGCCACCATGCCTGGCTTATTATTTTATAAAATAACACAAGTCCAAGTTTAATAAATAAATAAGGGAATCTTCATGTCTGATTAATAATAATAAACCCTCTTTATAAAACTACACATATGTAGGTAGGTTGAAATATAATTACTGGTCACTGCTGTGTTTTATTCCCAAAGTCACAGAAGTGCTTGTGACATCTGTTGTCACGTGGGTTTTGATCCCACTGACTGTGTCCCCGGCTCAGGAGGCCTAGTTAGTGCTGCTGCAGCATGTCCTCCCCATGCAGTGTGCAGTGTTGCCTAGTGAATTGCTGCTGGAGCACTACCCATCAAATCATGAAAGACTGCACTAAAAATCATACTGGGTGAAAGTTCAGAGTGTTATGGGTCTGCATATCATGCTCTCCAGGGCTGTGTGCAGCTGGTGGGTTGGACACGCCTGCTGTGGGTGTCCACTGAGGTCTGCTTATACTGGCTGGTCTCTGCTCTGTGTGAGCTCAGGTTCGTGACCTAGGTTGGTCTTCCCTGCTGTATAGAGTCATAATCTACCTGTGTGCAGAGTGTTTTCAGCCAGATTCAAGGAAACCCTAAACATTTTTCTGGAGTTCTTTCTCTGTGCAGCTTCTCATTAAAATAATTACATAGGAGAATGAAGACTGAATAAACATAGTTGTGTCTTCTTTAGACTGCTGTAACAAAGTACCATAGCCTGAGTGGCTTACAAGCAGCAAAAGTTGATTGCTTGCAGTAGTGGGAGGCCAGAATCCAAGATTCAGTTGGGGCAGAGTCACGAGGGCTCACATTCAGTTTTCTTACTGTGTCCTCACATGCAGAGGGGTGAGCGAGCGCTCTGCAGTCTCCTGTTAGGGCACGAAGAAGCCCAGGCATGGAAAGCTCTCTTGGACGAATCACATCACCTTGGGCTTAGGATTCAACGTGGGAATTTGGGAGTATGGGTGAGGGAGAGCATAAACTGTCTATAGCAGTTGTGCACCTCACCTCAGCATCATTTATTCAAGCATTACCTCGGCAAAATTTTGGGAGAATTCTGAATTTCACAGTAAGGTAATGTTTAAATATAGGCATGCCTCAGAGAGCTAATGGTTTTGGTTTTCTGTCTACAAGCTGAGAAGCCCTGACTAATATAGTTCCAGGCCACTACAATAAAGAGAAAATTGCAATAAAATGAGTCATAGGATTTTTGGATTTCTCAGAGCAGAGAAAGTTCTTATGTACATTATGCAGTAGTATATTAAGCATATCATGCATTATGTCTACAAAAACAAAGTACATACTGTCTTAGTTACTTCTCTTGTTGCTGAGATAAAACTACTCAACACCTAAAGTTAAAGGAGGAAAGGTTTATAGTAGCCCACAATTTCTTGACATTTTTTTTCTTTCATATACTGGGGATCAAACTAGGGACCATGCACTTCTGAGGCAGGGGCAGAACCACTGAGCTAAATCCCCAGCCCAGGCCACAGTTTATAGAGGTTTCATTTCCTAGTTAGCTGGCTCCAAGGCAGCGTGGCATGGAATAGGGGAGGAGACTTCATTATGGGCAGAAGGCAGCAAAGCAGTGAAGTTGTAAGTGACAAGCAACAAGCAGTGACATTCTTTCTGTCCCTTATATCCTATTCAGGCTATCTACCCATGCGTAGGGCGGTGCCACTCACTCAGGGTGAGGTCCCCTTAATCCTAACATTACAACATGAATCAATCCCAGCATCATATCCTTGATCCCAGCATCACATACCCAAGATCAAGCCATTTCCAAAAAGCACACCTGTAACTGTATGAGGCCGTGGGGGGACATCTAGATATAAGCCATAACACATACCTTAGTTAAAAATACTTGATTGGCTGGGTCTGGGCTGAGGCAGGGTGATTGCAACTTCAAGGCCAGCCAGGGCAATTTAGATCCTGTCTCTCTCAAAAAGACTAGTCAGTAGTGGAGTAGGTTCAATCTTTGTACAACAAAAAGGAAAAAACCCTTCTTATCTGTTAAAAGTTTTTTGCATGGCACTGCAGCAGTTCAGGCACATCTTTAGACTCAACTTCTAGTTCCCTTGCTCTTTTTACCATATCTGTGGTTACTTTCTCCTTTGGAATCTTGAACTTGTCAGAGTCATCCACGAAAGTGGGAATCAGCTTCTTTGAAATTCTTGTTAGTGTTGGTATTTTGACCTTCTTCCACAGGTTGCAAGTTTTCTTATGGGATCTAGAGTGGTGA